GGAGGGACTCTTTCAAACTCATTTTATGATGCCAGCATTACCCTTATACCAAAACCAGATAAGAACGCGAAAAGAAAATTACCCGTATATCCCTGATGAATATAGATTGCATAAGCACTATTTCTAAGACTTCCTTTCAGTTCTAGGATTTTTAAAGATCTCTACCCTATAAAAAAATAAGGTTTTATCAAGAAGCAAATAGAACTTATTAAATCCTAAATGATTTTGAATGTTGTAGAAATGTTTCGGCAAACTAATTTTGCAGTTCAGTAAATTTTGTACTTGACAGGTAAAATGTCAAGTTAGGTTAAAGTTCCAACACTTTCAGTTTAATTTAATTCCATTGCGTATAGATCATTTTACATACCAGCCACTGTTGTCCATAAACAAATACATGATTTTTGGCAATGTCAACTCTATCCCATGCCAATGTAAGGATGAGCTGGTCAAATGCAGATGCATTAGTACCTAATTGAATAAAGAAAATAGTTGACAAGTTCAATTAATTTACTATCATTAAAATGTGAATATTTATGGATTCTCCCCACTCCCTTTTAAATTAACTTACACAGCTAGTGTCAGCCACTGTTCACAGGTAGCCTGCCTCAAAGAGTAAAGGAAACCCACAGGGTTGAGGCCTTTAATTTCCCAACTATATAAGACACAGCCTTATACTACAATACAAACAATTCAGAACAAAGAACAGAAAAGCTTTGTTTCTATCATAGAGATAGTAGACTGTTAAGATTATGAAAAATATCCTTACATGTGCTTTTCTGAGCATATATAAATTTACATGTATACTTTTAATTATTTATGCAAAAGTGGTTCATATTATACAAAGTATTCAGCAGCCTGCTTTATGTACCATAATATCATACCTTAGTTTTCCATAATAGTACATATACAAAGGGTGCCAAAAAAATGTATATACATTTTAAGAAAGGAAAACTGTATTAAAATTGTAATAATATATACCGATAACAAAAGATGAACACAAGTCATGTTTGACTTCTGCAACTACAAGAGGTGCTCAAAGTGCTTACCCATCAACGTCCAGACAGTTCTGATTACGGCCAACTACTGCTTGAGCAACACTGACCAAAGTGTCCACTTATATACATTTTGGCACCCCTGGTAGATTTACCTTGTATACATATTAATACCTTTTAAAGGTGAACTAAAATTTATTCAATAAATATTCTACTGGGCATTCAGGTTATTTTGAATTTTTTGGTAAGTATAACTTTTTGCACATTTGATAATCTACATAGGGTGATTTTGTAGAAGCCAAATTGGTAGGTAGAAGGAAATATATTTTAAAGCTTTTGATATACTGCCAAAATACATTCCAGAAAGGTTATAGCATCCTTCAGAGGTATAAGAATACCCAGTAGAGGGATAAAAAGCTGTTTTGTAAAATTTACTTTCGAAAAATTATAACACTGACCATCTTTCCACATTTCCTCCAAGCATTTGTATTATTCTGCTAATATTTTTTACAGAAATTCTGACTCATTTTTCCATGAGGCAGTCATCTTTTTATTATTAATAACAGCTCTCTGTGATCCCTCCACACTCTTTTTCCTTAGTTTCCTCATCTATAAAATAAGGAAAATAAGAAATCTTCTCCTTAAGACTACTGTAAAGTTAAAATGAGATACTCTATACCACTATAACACAGAAAGTATACAGCAAATATTAGGTGCTCTCTTTTTAGTTAGTATTTTTATGCAATCCCATTTATTGATCTTTCCCTTAATGGTTTCTTGGTTTCCTATTACTTATGATCTCTTCTTGCTCATATGGCATATATGTTATCTTATATTTTATGTATAGCATTTTTAAAATGTGTGATCTACTGACAATTTATTGTGGCCTAATATTTGGGAAATTCTTGAGAATGATAACAAGACAGCGCCCTCTCACTCTGTTTATGCCACCTGACTGCATACTGGGACTTTCAGTTACTCAGATGGGACACCACTTTATGGGGTTGTTGGAAAAGTCATGATGCATTCTTGCAACGAAAAACACGGAAAAAATACATCATGACTTTTCCAACAACCCTATAGTTTCTAATTTTAAAAAATTTTTTCACTGCAATATTGTTTCCAATATTAGTTGCATGTCTTTGGCAAGATAATGAGGAAAAATGATTCAATGTACATTAATCCCTTAGTCCTAGAAGTATCTCCAGCTCTTTCCAAATTTCACTTCAGAATGAAAATCACATGTTTAAGAATGCTATTTTGAATTTCTATCAACTGATACTTCATTACCTTTATATACTTTTTTTTTTGGCCTATCAAAAATGTGACACATTATTAACAGGATAATAGGTCTGGTGGCATAAATCCTGCTACAAATATTAAAATTCTACAAGATAAAAACAAATGCAAACTTACTGTCAAAGAAAGATAAATGTGTCTTTCACAAAGAAAAATTATTGAAAACAATCAGTTCCCAAACACTTTGCTAAATTAAAAAGTCCTATCTTGTATAAACAGGACATAAATGAAAGATCTTACAAATAAAATTTAAAAATGTTTAAATCTTACCTTTAAGCAGTGCAGTAAGTATTGCTACATCTATGTCTTGATGTTCATCTGATCCAATGTGGAAAACAGTGATCTATTTAAAGATTAATTCATAATATTATGCCATTACATTTCAAAGGCTAAGGCATAAACCATAAAACAGAAATTACAAACTACATGAAAGATATAGGTTTGGAGGTTGGTTTTTTTTTTGTTGTCAGAAATAAGCAACCAAAAAATAATATGAAAAGACTTTGTATCATTTACCAAATACAATGGTAAGTATACTCAAAATGCTTGGTTTCATATTCATTTTCTACCTATCTTACGTTCTTTACTACTGAGTAAGTGACTTATGGACTGAATTACTTATCTGAGAAAATCCTGCTGTTCCTTCTACAGCGTGAACTTACTCAATTATATGTGTCCTTGATGAGATTTTTTTTACTGCAAATTTATTTAAATTATTTGAAATGTAACACCATTTAAGAGGTTTTTATTTAATAACCTTTTTCATAAAGTAAAAGACTATTGTAATAACCTGAATACAAATTTTTCAACTAACTTTATTTCATAGTGTATAAAAATGAAATACATCATCCACCTACTTATAGAGTTGATAAATTTTATCTCTGAAAATTTAAGGCCATGTTTAAATGACTGAAAATTAAGCAACACTGATCTTTAATTTAATTTAATTTAAGCACTCAGAGTAAAATAGTTTATTTATTCATTCATTCATTCATTCATTTATTTATTTTAGAGGAGCAATTAACAAACTCTTTAGCATTCTTCCTTGATCCTGGCCCTAATCTGTTGAGGCCTAGTTATGAAACTTTTCCTAAAACAGAAGTATAAACATATGTCTCAATACCATATAAAAACTATAATCCTTGTATGCTACCTTTTAAGTTGAACAAAACAATAAATGACATCTTTACATGGTTAAAAAAAGATTCAAAAATTTAAATCCCAAATTAAAAACCAAAGTTTTTACCAATTTAGAATATGCATAATAAAATAAAAAGTTTATTTACTCTGCTAAAATTACTTACAAGCTCCTTTCTTTTCATGCATTCCATCAGTGTTTGAAATAAATGAACTGCTTCACTCTGACCAAAGTTAAATGTTTTCTTGATGGTTGAAATAATATCAGGTTCTACTGCATCAGGAAGATTCCTAGAGTAAGAGGTAACGTAACTTAATCCACTGATTTCTGTTTCCATTATTTGTAGAATCTGATATGAAGTACAGGTGAATCCATGTAAGACCTTTAAAGCTAGTACATTAATATTAAATACTTGACCCTCAGTGACATTCTCTCCTTCATAAGACTCCTGCTATAATTCATAAGGGGTAAAAATGGAATGGAGTGATTTTTCTCTTTGAATTATTCTAAATTTTTTTTACAAGACATGTGTTGCAATATCAGCACTCACATTTTATAAGATATTATATAAAGATAATTTTAAGACATTATGGTGTATGGAATAGTATTTCACCAAAATGTCTTAAACATGACCATACTTGAATTTTTACTTTTCTTAATATGTATATTTATGTGGCTCAAAAATATAATGATATAAAATAATTTAAAATATAGAAATGTGAAAATTCATGGAAGTCTCCTTCCCACTGTGTTCCATCTGCCCTGTTCCATCTCAATTGCTTTCAAGAAACACTACTAGTCTATATAACTTTCCAGGATCTCTTTCTATATATACAAAAAATTATCCCCTCTCTTTCTGTACATAAAAGATGACACAATACACCCACTACTCTACATCTTCCTTTTTCTGTGTATATACAGAGGGTACCAAAAAGTGTATACACATTTTAAGAAAGGAAAAAACTGTATTAAAATTACACTGATGGTAACCACTTTGAGCATCTCTTGTAATTAACTGCAGAAGTCAAACTTGACTTGTATTCATCTTTTGTTATTGGTATATATTGAGTATCACAATTTTAATACTATAGTTTCCTTCCTTTCTTAACCCTCCACCGGGTGCAACTGATCTCACAGATTCATTGCACATAAAGAGGCCACTATGAAATACATATTTACTGTACTAAGTCATAAACACGACTGGTAATAGGTTATGGTAGAGGGAAAGATACAGGAGCGATGAATCCCGATACTTAACTGTTAGTTATTTGAAAATTTGTGTGCAATGAATCTGTGAGATGAGTTGCACCTGATGGAGGGTTAAAATGTGTATACATTTTTCTGGGACCCTCTGTATTTTGATAATCTTCCCAAATCTATAGATAGCTAGCAACCTTACTCAGCTACAAACTATTCCATTGTGCAGATAGACCATAATTTATTTGGTTTACCTAGTCCCTTTGATATATGTTCAATTTTGCTCCAATCTTCTACTATTGCAAACAACACTGTAACGAGTAACTTTATACATATGTTATTTCATATGTGTACAAGTACATCTACAGAACAATTCCCATAAATGAAACTATTAGGTCAAAAGGTATGTGCCTCTGTATTTTTGACAGAGCTTACAAAATTGTCCTCTACGAAGACTGTTATATTTTAATTCATTCCAATACTGTATCAGACAAGCTATTTCCTCAAGCCTTAACAAAAATTGTATTAAACTTGAAATTTTCATGTTCATACACTAAAATGAATCTAAAATACCAAAATAACTTTACATAAAGTTAATTTGTTGTAATTATACACTTACCCTCCTTCTTCTATTTGTTTATGAATATATGCTAGTAGATCTGCAGCTCTGCCTGTTCCTTCACATACGACAACTGGAACAGGAGGACTTTCCTGAAGGTATTCTAAAACTGTGAGGATAACATTTGGCCCACCCTCAAATATAAGTGCCACCACAGGGACACCTTGACCAATTCCTAAAAAAAGTAAAAGATTACGTATTAGGCAAAATTCAGTAATTTATTCTTGTTTTTTACCCAATTGAAAACAAAATAAAAGGCCACAATATAATTTCTTATAAAACTGTGTTGACTTCATTTTAACTATTCAACATGATACAAGTCTGGCATAAATAAAATACTGAATAAATTACTTTTTCATTGACTTAAAGTCTGTTCTAAATGACAAATTAGAAAATCCAATATATAATTAGGTATACACTAGAATTTACGTATTTATTGAAAACTAAAGTTACTTTACATATTTCACTAATTGAACTTTTGATAAGAATTTTAACAATAATTTGTTTTTAGTTTGCTTTTTAATACTTTGAGTTGAATGTCTATGTTTTTATTCACTTTTAAAATGTATATTTCTGATTCCAAATACACTGAGACATTAATATCAAAATTAATGACAGAATCAGGATTATTTAAAAGTAACTGATCAATAAAATCCAAGAACTCTACAAGAATTACAGAAAAAAATTTAGTGAAGAGTATCTATTTTTGTTTTTAACAATATCCTGAAATGCAGTTAGAGAACTCAAAATATAGGTAATTGCAGTATTCTAAAAAAATCCTAATTTTTAAGAGATGCTATGACTCCACCATAATCTGAATGCACAGTTCTATAATTCTGAATTTCTATTTCACTTTGTCATTGGGCTCACCTTCTTGGTGTCCTAGGATTACAAAATTTCTTCTTTTTAAAATAAAAATATAAATGCTGAACCAGAAAGTTTGACCATCATTGGAAAGACCAGTATAAAGAATACCAACTTTTAAGACACACCTACCGAAGAGTGATACCTACTCATGTTATAAACGTCAAACAAGATAATTCTTATTTTGCAATAAAGCACTTTTTCCCCTCGTTTACTCTTTAATCTTGACTGTTAAAGTCATGTATTAGAATATACCACACATTAAGAATATTTCTGAATTCCCTGGGCTGCAATGGGGTTACAATAGCAACAGAGCTTCTAATGAACATTTGTGGCTTTGGCCTCAATATCTGAATACCCTATTTGGCCTCAGACTTCTTTTCCTAGGTCTTAGTTTGTCTAAGGTCAGTCATTCTTGGTTGTTTCATATGTTATCTTGCTACATAAGGAAATGAGCACTTCAAAGAAACATTCTACCTTTTAAGAATGCTGCTGGCAATTAATACAGCCCAGAATAATTTCAACAGTAACAAATTTATAAAGTCCCTTACTAGCATGAATTCTTTGCTGATTAATAGTTTTTTCAAGTTCTCTTCTCAGTCTGACTTCTGCCCCATACTTTCCAACAGTGCCATCATCCACCAATATGAAATGGGAATGCAGATTATTCAGAACATTCAATTTACTCAGAGGGTTCAATAATGTTTGATAAGGAGCAACCACCTAAACAATATCAAATATAAGAGTTAGTGGGAAGGATTAAATGTAACGTAAAGTAAAAATAAACGGAAATAATCTGCAAAGGCAAGAATAGGCAAAATTCCATTTACCTATAGTAACAAAAAGAAAATGTTGAAGAATATATCAAAAAGTACAAGCTTTGCTTAAGCAGATGAAGATTAATCAATATGGGTTGAATGATACAATTCTATTTTGACTCTACTGCAGAATATATAATATTTCATTATCACATATCAAGGCAGAAGCAGCAAATAAGTAAATAATATGAAGAAACTATTAGGTTATTAGTGAATAAAGAGCAATATGAAAAGACACTGAATAAAAGCAACCAAATGTCATATTGCTATTTATCTAGCCATAAGTAGAATCTTTAAAATTGACATTAGAAATTTAGCTGCACTTAAAAGTTACCATTATAATTCAGTAATTCCTTTTTAATAGTCTCTTGATAAATATCTACAACCAATTCACGTCTTTAACCTACTCAAACAAAGCACTAGCATTTCATTATTACTCTTAGTGACAATAAAATTAATTCTTAATGTCATGTAATAATTAAAATTTTAATTACAAACGCTGGCATACTATGGAGGTGTAAAATAGCTACACAAAAAAAGCAGAAACCAAAATGCACTAACACTATAATGACAATTATTTTTACCTATGTATGCATCTTCAAAAAAAAGAAATACTTTTTAAATGTAATTCAAAAAGTATGGTATGTCCATGAATATTTTCAGTTGAATGGCACTCTACTTGCTCTAAATTTGTTTATACAGAAGTTCAAATATAAAAAATTTTAAAACCATTCTTACATCTCTCCCAACAAGATCATTTCTGTTTTCAATTACGCCCCATGGAGCTATTCCAATAGTGCAAATCTTTCGAGATGATCTGGAAGCGTGTTCTTTGAGGGCATCACCAACATGTTTGGCCACACCTGTTCATACAAAATTTAATTCACTTTATTTGAAAGTCTTCACTGTGTTAAGAATCCTGTGCTCAATCAGTAACATTACAATTTGTGTTAATTTTCTTTACACAGACATGATAAAAAGCAAAAAGGCCCAGGAGACAAACTTACACACACAAAAAAAAGACCAAAAAAGTCAAAAACAAAAACAAAAACCACGATATCAAATCACTACGACTGCCTGAAACACATGTAAAACTCACTTTTATCATGTTGCTAGGTCTAGTCCTCTTAGATTCCTCATGTAAGTAACTACAGTTTTTTTGTTACTGCTCTACACATCATTTTAAAAAAATGAAAAACATGGCTCAGAACTATAAGGAACATACACACACATACCCAACTATAAATTTTGTCCAACTGAATCAAAAAGTGGGAGAACGGTAGAAAAGACAATTCAAAAGAGCACATAACTCCTCATTATCACTTGTTATGAACTGAACTGTATACTCCCCCAAATTCCTACATAGAAATCTTTATACCAGTACCTCAACATGTGACTCAATTTGAAAACAAGTCCTCTAGAGAAGTTACCACATTAAAATGAGGCTGTCAATGTGAGTCCTAATCCAATCTGACAGGTGTCCTCATAGAAAGAAGAAAGTTGGACACAAAAAGAGACACTACAGATACACATGCACAGAGGAAAGGCCATGAGAGGGCATAGTAAGAATGTGGCGATCTGCAAGCCAAGAAGAGAGAAACCAAAACTGCTAACATCTTGATCTTGGACCTACAGAACTACGAGAAAATAAATTTCTTTTTTTCAAGCTACCCCAATCTGTAGTATTTTGTATGGGAGCCCTAGCAAACCAGTGCATCACTCACTGTGGTTTTTATAATGCATTAGATCTCATTCCTCACCTGAATATGGAAGTAGCATCTTCAATGGTCTTCCAACTGCTGCCTTGCCTGTTTACAGTCTATTTTCAAAACATCATCCAAGTGATCTTTACTCTTGTCAACTCTCTGCTTAAAACTGTCCTTTCTCATTCAGAATAAAAGGCTAAGTACTTATAACGGAGTACAAGGCCTTAAATAATGATCTGCCTATTGCCCCGCTATTCACCACAACACCCCATCCTAGCCGCCATCAAACACCCATAACTTTCTGACCTCATCACTTAGCACTCCTTGCTCATTCCATCAAGGTGCACTGGACCATTCTTACTGGTCTCCCAACACGCTAGCTGTTTCTTCTCATTTAAATACTCTGCCCCACATTATTCTTACCTTGCTCCCTCATTTCTTCCATCTCTACTCAAATGTCACCTTGTCAGTGAAGCCCCCTCCACCATCCCTCACTATTCCTCCTCTATATTTCATGTGTCTCCATAGTACATATCATCTAACACATTATACATTATTTAGTTATCTATTTGTTGTCTGCATCTCCCCCATTAGAATATAAGCTCCATGAAGGTAAATATTTTTTTTTGTAGAATGATATATTTTTAGCAGCCAGAAGAATGCCTGACACATAATGAGGTTCAAAACACAGTTGCTGGTAATGAATTAGATATTTACAAGCTAATTTAAGTAATAATTGTTTTACTTTGGATATTAAAATTAATTTGCCTTCCTTATACCTAACCTGTATATGTGATAGGGAAGACTTGGAATGAAAGATTATAGTATACCAGGGGTACCAAAAATATGTATACATTTGTATACACTTTGGTCAATGTTGCTCAAGCAGTGGTTTGCTGTAATCAGAAGTGTCTGGACGCTGATGGTAACCACTTTGAGCACCTCTTGTAATTGCAGAAGTCAAATGTGACTTGTATTCAACTTTTGTTATTGTATACATTGAGTTTTACAATATTAATACAGTTTTCTTTCTTAAAATGTGTATACATTTTTTTGGCACCCTCTGTATTAAAAATTAATTTTGAAAGCTACTTCTTACCACTGCCTAAGTAATAGATTGCCACTCTTCTACAATTTACCAGTAGCCACAGGAATAATGCTTTGCTCTACAGTAAAGATCATCAACCTTTTTTGTGTAAAGGTCCAAATAATAAATATTTTAGGCTTTGCAGGACATACAGTGTCTGCCACAACTATTCATTGCTGCTGCTGTAGCACAAAAGTAGTCACAGGTAATACAAAACCAAATGAGTATAGCTATGTTCCAATAAACCTTTATTTACAAAAACAAGGAGTGGGCTGGATTTGGTCCATGGACCACAGTTTGCGAACCTCTGCTCTAAAGTGTATTAGTTTTTAAAAAGAAAAACCAAATATTTTTATAGTTACCACATATACCTAGGAACTATAGATTTAACAGAAGAACTGAATATATTTATATTCAATGCTATTATTTCAAATATCTAATTGATATGAAAAATTTACAAACACACTAAAAAAAGTTGGTATACCCATCACATTACCTGTGTTTACTCCTCCAGTTAAAATCCATGCTCCGGTTGTAACTGCAGCTTTAATAAGACCCTTTCCAATCAACTGCTTGATTCGTGGGTGAAGCTCAAATTTCTGCATGCCCCCATGTACAGAGATAACAAGTTTGGGCAATTCCATCTGCCATTCTTTAAGCAGAAGTTGTAGAATGACTTCAGTTTTCGTGTCATATGATAGTCTGACATACTAAAAAAGATTTTTAAAAGAACAAAATAATTGAATACGGTCATAGGTTTCATAATGCAACATTGTACAAACTTAGAAAACCATTTAAATCAGGTTGTTATAAAATAGATTTCATAGGCTACTTTTAATATATTTATACTCCTACGAAAAAGCAATAGATGATTTTCAAGTTGGAAAATCATTCTGTAAGAGCTATAGTAGTGCCACTGTAATTTTTAAACCTTAAGATTAAGACATAAATGTTACTTTTTTTGTTTATATAAACTCAATTGCCATTCATCAAATTTACAAATTTATCCACAGTATTCATTAGCTTATTTAACTATTATTATGCAGTGAATGAGAAGTAATGAATTAAGGCTATGATGATGGGAAAAGGGACAGAAAGAGAATGGTGGGGAAAAAAGGAAGCTTCTACAACTCTTGCTATTAAGAGAGGAAAATACTGAATTATCTGTTTGAAACTTTTATCAATGATATAGTTCATTTATAACAGAATTGTAACTATGTAGTAAAATAACAAAGATATTTTTAATATGGATGATTGTTTTCCTCAATTATGGATTTGACCCACAAATTGCTAAGAATAAATAAATTTTACTCCGGAGTCCCTTAAGAATGCTTTGTAATGAGATCTATTCTATACTAAAGTCTTTCTGAATTGGTTTTAACTCATTGTTATGCTTAAATATATAAAGCAGTGTTTGGAAAATGGTGCAAAATTAAATTACAAAAAAAAGACTGTTAGGAATAAACGAGGAATTACACTTCTGGCAATGATGACTAGGTTATTTTGGACTAATTCTGCCCCTGCAAACTACAGAAAGTAGAAAACAAATAGATAACATCTATTTAAAGCATCAGAGAGCTACCAAAGCAGTGAAACTTAAGAAATTAGAATCCAAGAGAATAGTAAAACTTGTAGAGATGGGCCCACCATTTGGCACTATTTTCCCATCAAGGCAGAGAGGCAGGCAGAACAACGTAAGCGGTAAAACGTTGGCAAATGTAAGTGAATAATAATGTTTTGGGGGGTTTAAAATACAGAAAGAAATATAATTCATGCCATCAAAAGCACATATGTGATGAGGGAAATAAATGCAGTTACAAGTATTCTAAAGTTTCTTGCATTGTCCAGGAAGTAGTAAAAGTACTTAATTAATAGTACAATAAGTGAAAAATGTATTTTATAGTGTTTATTATGAGATTAACCTAAAGGATAGAAAAAGAATGTATAAATAACATGCTAATAAGGAGGGAAATAATAAAAAAATACTTAATTCAAAAGATAAGAGAACAAAGAAAAACAGAGACAGTAGACAATATTAAAAAAAAGTTATAGGGCCAGACAAGTGGCTCAGTTGGTTAAGAGCGTGGGCTCTGAGCATCAGGGTCACTGGTTCAATTCCCATATGGGCCAGTGAGCTGCACCCGAGCTGAGCTGCCAACAGGTGGCGGGATGGCTCGGCTGGTGAGAGCACATGCTCCTAACAACAAGGTTGCCAGTTCAATTCCTGCGTGGGATGGTGGGCTGCGCACCGCCCCCCGCAGCTAGAATTGACCACTGCAACTTGGGCTCAGCAGTCACGAGCTGCCAATGGGCGGCCGGGTGGCAACTGGACTTGGAGCTGAGCTGGCTGTGCCCTCCACAGCTAGGATTGAAGGACAACAGCTTGGCTGTTCCCCTTTCCAAAACACTGCTCCCCTCCCCCCAATTCCCAATAAAAATCTAAAATATATATATATATATATTCCGCTTGAAAAGAGACCTGTTAAACATAAAGAAAGGGTAAAAGTAAAAGAGAAAAGAAAACAGAAAATTTAGCTATATGGTCACTGAATAAAGCAGCCTTTGTCAGGAAAAATGACAAGAGAGAAATGACATTTTATACTGATAAAAGGTTCCATTCACCAAGCTATAACAATTCCATATTTGTATACACCTATACAAGAACTTCAAAATACATAAAGAAATGATTAAAACTAATTTGATGAAATAGTGTTATGTAAATTGTCAGATAATAAATGTATATTATTTAGATAACAAGAAAAATGAAGTAAAAAATCAAATGTGACATACCTTAGCTCTGTAGGAATGAGAACCCCCTTGAAAATTTATGACTCCATAAGCATCCGTTGGGCTCTGTTCTGTATGCTTTTCCACAGACCATTCTTCTAATGCCTGATTAAAATGGTCACCCAATTTCACATCTGAGTATTTCATGGCAAGACTTGCAGTAAAGCAAGCATGTTGCTTGACCAAGCGACCACAAAAACATCTACAGAGAAAATTGAAAGTTTGAAAAGACCTTTCAAAAAAAAGACCTTTCAAAAAATTAGTCAATGAAAAAAACTGAATTAAAATGAATAAATGAAAAGTATAAAGATAATTTGACCTTTTGATTTTAGGATATCAGTAACACCTTCACCACAGCACTGAAATAGTATAAATGCATTAGTATTTGATGATGTAGTCATCTAAATTTAATATGGGCATCTATAAAATGTAGTATAGCCATATAATAGGATAGAATTCACCAACAGAAAGGAATGAACCACTAATAGACAAGACAATATGAATAAATCTCAAAAGTTATCATGCTGAATGAAAGAAGCCAGATGCCACCAAAAAGTACATATTTATTATTCCATACATACGGAATTCAAGAAAATGCAAAATAATCTACAATATATAGTGACTACAATGGTGGCCTGGGGTCAAGGGCAGAAAGAGGGTTTGCATTCTATCTAGAAGCACTCACTGGACCACTATGTAGAAGCAGGAACCCAATGTAGCTGGGCAGTCTGATCTGATAAAAAAATCGTATCAGAGTTTGTAGAAGCCAAAGGAGCTCGAGTCTGTAGGGCAGAAAACAAAAAGAGGGAACTCCAGAGAGAGAAAGAGCTCCAGACATATGCAGAAGGGTCTCCTTAATCTAAGAATTAATTAACCAAAGATACAGTAAGAACTACAAGACAGCAGTAAACCAAATATCCCTGAAGGTTATACAGGACAGGAAACAGTTTGTGTTTCCACCAGTTAGAATGGAGACGTCTCATAATATGCAAGGTCTATAAAAGGGTCCTCAGAAGAGTAATGCCTAATTAGAAAGGCTAAATTAGACCTAGACTGCATGTGCCCCGACAAAGTACAAGAGCAAGACTTGAAAGGCTCAAACTGATCCAAAGTAACTTAACTGCATGCTAAAATAAGTGGAATACAACAAAATCCACTACCCAAGACACAAAATTCAGTGTATAGCACCCATCAGAAATTACTGGGCATGCAAAGCAGTGGAAAAATATAAGTGGAAAAAAAAAAAACCTTTGGGCCGACCAAGTGGCNAAACAAACAAAACACAGGATTTAAGAGCAGCACTGAAATTACACTATGATCTGTCATTTAAAATGTTACTTCTCTCTTTTAGAAAAACTAGAACTGGTTTTTAAAAAAAGGCAGATTAATGATTGTACTTATTGCTATATGCTTACTAGTTGTTTATTAATTAATGAAATTCAGATATAGACAGTATAAAAAGAGAGAAAAAATAGTTTGGAATTTCTCCCTGTGAGCTATTTGGAAACAACTAATAAAGACCACAGCTCAGTCTCATGGTATGGTAATGAAGTCCACCAAAGTCAGATATAAAAACTAAATGTTTAAGGTATTCAAATAACCTACTGAAATAATGGAAATATAGATGCATTGAGAAGTACTCAGATTGCTTTAATATCAACTATATAAAGTTTTCATTTAACTAAATCATTTGCAGTTTATCAGCATCCACCTAAAACCTACAATATAAATGAAAGATGGGCAAAATGTGAACACAGCATGAACAAATCTGTTAATTAAGGATACAGCGGCACGCTTTAAGAAGCCCTGTTAAATGACAACTACTTGACAAAAAAGGAAGAAATCTAGGGGATTAGGGGTTCAGAACAGTCCTCTCCAAAATATGCCACTTTGGCATGTGAACTAATTTGAGCTGAAGGTAAATCAAGACCCTGCAGGCTAACAAGAAACTTTTACCTCTCCCATAATTTAAATTAGGGTCTTTGCCCACAGTTAAGAGTTATCACCAGAAATAACTTTTAATGACCCATCTATAGGGCAGGGCAAACTTCTAATTACTGAACATCTGCTCTTCTCATCATCCTGTGAATGACCTTCCTCCCCTCTGACACCCCAAAGCATCTGACCTCATCCTTAATTCAGAATGTCCTATTATCACTCATTTTCCCTCTTGGTCTTTGAACCTCTCATATACGTTGGGTCTCTGACTCTTCTCGTTCATGTGGAATTCCCATGTATACGTATGTATTTAATTTGGTTATTTTTCTCTTGTTAATTTACTTCATGTAGATTTAATTAGACCTGAAAGAAACTTGAGGGTAAAGGGAAGTGTCTTCCTCACCCACAGGGAGGACTATGGAATATATGAAAGTAAATACTATTATGAAATGCGACCTCGTACAACTTACATCCTTCTTTTTTCCTCTGCCTTCTCTTGATTGGACAATTAGGCAGAAAACCAGAAAAGATAGAATAGACTTAAACAACACTATTGGCCAGTTTTACCTGATGGAATTTATAGACTACACCACCAGCAACATATATTGATATAGGACTTGATGTTCAATAATACTATAAAGAACTCTGAAAACCGAACAGTAAAAACAGCCAATCAATCCAATCAGCAAATGGACAAAAGACATGGAAAAGACATTTCACCAAACAGGATATCAAATAAGTTTATTTGGTAAAATAAGCATATAAAAAGATGCTTACTGACCAACTTCATTGGTCTTTAGGGAAACGCAAATTTAAAACCACAATGAGATCCTACTTCACAAGCACTAGAAGGGCTATAATCAAAGGCTGACAATAGCAAGTACTGGCAAGAATGTATGAACTGGAACTCTTATACTTTCCTAGTAGGACTATAGAATGAAATAAACACTTAGGAAGGAAACGTCTTGTTGTTTATTAATAAATTAAGCATAAACTTACATATGACAGAGCAAAACTCCTAAGTATCTTCCCTTAAAAAATGAAACCATGTCCACACAAAGACTTGCATTTGAATGTTCATAGAAACATTATTTATAATAGCCAACAAACTGAAATATCCATACAATGGTATACTATTGGGTCTTCAGAAAAGTCATGACGCATGTTTGCAACAGATGGCACTAGTTCATTTTTGGAAGTACTAGAGTCATTTGCATCTGTGTTATTGCTATGTCATTTGACAGCTGACAGCTCTAGTTTCATTCTAAAAAAAATTGAGCAACTTGGTTGAGTTGCGAAGATTTTATAACAAGTTGAAGATGGAAAACCAAACTGTGCATTTTTGCCATATTTTACTGGTTTACTTCCATAAAGGGAAGAACGTGCGTCAAGCTTGTGAAAAGTTGCATAAAGTTTACGGTGACAATGCTGTAACAAGAACATCAGTGCCAATGATGGGTCACGAAATTCCGTGCTGGTGATTTTGATCTCAACGACGGTCCTTGGTCAGGGAGGCCCACCGAGGTTGATGACAACAAAATAAAGGCATTGATTGAGTCAAACCCACGTTACATGACACGAGAGACTGCAGAAACATTGAACATCCATCATTCAAGCGTTCACGACCACCTGAAGGAGCTGGGATACATAAGCAAGCTCAACATTTGGGTTCCGCATGAACTCAAAGAAGTTCATTTGATGGGAGTACAAACATCTGCAATATGCTCATTAAACGTGAGGAAAACGATCCTTTTTAGAAGTGACTGATAACTGGTGATGAGAAGTGGATTGTTTACAACAATGTGGTGCGCATACGGTCTTGGTCCCAACATAATGATTCGCCTCAAACAACAACGAAAGCANTATAAGAAATAATTTAATAATAAATACAGGAAAAGAAAGTTCTATATAGCATTGTTTTTCAATTCACTAAGTATTTACTGTATACTACATGCTTACTGAGGACAGCAACACCTAAAATATTAGAATCATTCCATTTAAGTCCATTGTGATTTAGATTACTACATCAACAGTGCTATGCAAGTACTGCTGCTTCAAATAACCAGAAAGGAGGGAAATCAAATTTGAGATTACCACTGTGAGCTAAAAACCTCAAAAAGGGCTGGTGTAATCCTGGGAAGTGGATCATTTAAAGGCCAATTAAAAGTGTCAAATTTAACTAAGAAACAACACCTAGCTATATTCTATTTCTAAAAGAAATGCCTAAAGAATAAGGACATGAACTGATTAATGGTATTGGAAAAGAAAAAGATATCAACCAAATTCTAATCAAAAGAAAGGTATAGAAAAAAATAAATGCTAAAACACCAATTAGGGTTAGTGCAAGTTATTACATAATTATAAATGTTTGATTCACCAGATTGTTGTAACAATCTTAAATATAAATAACCAAATAAAAGTCTCAAAATACATAAAGTGAAAAATTAATAGGGAGAATAAAACAAATCTAGGATCACTGTGAAAGAGTAACACATTTCCCTCAATTACTGTAAATCTGAAATTATTTAAAAGACTTTTAAAACTTAATTTATTTTAATGCCACTTAGACTTCTGAATGGACCCCTAGACTCTGTATCCTGCTAAGGGTAACTGATTAAAATGCGATGAGATTTTATGTACTGAGACAAGTGGAACTCCATAAATTAGGATACCGTAAAGATCTTGGGCTCCACCTATACAGAGGTATCTAAATCTCAGCAGGACAGTACAAAAAGGAAGAGCCTATGTTCCAAAAAGAACCCTCTAGGAGAAGAGGTACTCTAGACAAAATTATGATGGGTGAAGTTCCGTAGCTTCCTCTCAAATCCTTCGGGTACCATAATGATAAACCTTAGTTTATCTCCCAAATTCTCTAATTCTGGTTCTAAAATTCCATCTCTCATTCAAAATGTCCATGGTTCTCCTTTAAATAGACTCACTTAGGTAGGAGCAAATTACACCACGATCCTCTAGTTACAAAAAATCACAGAATGCCCTCTGGAACTTAGGGCCTTTGATCAGCAAAAATACTCTACATTCTAAAAGCTAATTTAGCATAGTGCCTCCACCACCACGTTATTCTAAAATCTGGTATTCCCTTAAGAATCTGCTTCCTCTACATCCCTCTCAGGGGGGAAAAAAGTCGCAATCTCTAGCTTCACTGTACTAGAACTCATTTGCTTCTAGAATATATCTGGCAAACCCAATCATAACTGCCTATGTACTGTTAACACATTGTTTGCGGGAAACGAGTCAACTCGTCAT